AATTTGTAATCCTCTCCCCCTATTTTCCTTTCCCCTATCCCCAGTTTTTCTAAAAATAAAATACAATAATAACAATATGTCAGTGTAATTTCAAAAATGGGGTCTTGGAAAGGGTAGGATATACGCCCCCTAGCTACCAGGCATTGACTCTTAGCCCATTTTTTTTCCGCACTGGTTATGGATTAACTAATGCGCCATATCCAAGGTAGGTACCATGGTGTAATGTTATTTGCCGATGGCATAATATTGATTAACGAGACTCACAACATAATTAAGGTGATTAAATGCAATAACCATTTTTGTGCGCTTCATTTTCAAAGAAATGGAAATCGATTATATAAATTCTTCATTGACCAAGTCATTTAAATTTTGAGACTCATTTTATGTCAAAATTATGCTTCATAAAATGATTAAATATATGTCATGTCAATATAACTAAGGCAAAATTTTATCCAGTTTAAAATAAACACCTGATTTTAATTATATATCTTTAAAATATCAGATAAGATCACAATAATTAGGCGATTATTATTCCATATAAATCTCTACATTATAATCTGTTTATAACATATCGAAATTAAAGGCGAATCTTATATTTCCCGATATATATGTGAGTAAAATAAGGAAACAAGTGGTTATCTAAAAGATAAAAATAATGAAAATTAATGACAATAATTTATTTAAAATGGAAAATATAAACAACGGCATGAAATTAAATAGCTTTATATTTCTCCCTTCTACCTTCATTTCTGAATCTCATCATTCAAATTTAAGGTAATATTTATCTCTTGGAAATTAATTATTAGCAAAATTGTTATGAATTTTATGATCTTTTCTTTGTAATTATGTTTATTTGTTGTTATGTTTACGATGGTTTTTAAACATTTGAATGTTCATATAATGTGAAGAATTCATCTACATCTATAATTATCATAAAGGTTATATATTGTTTCAATTTTTTATGTAATGTATTATACTGATTATATAATATTGGATTCAGAGAGACTAATTCAGGATTTAAATTTGATAGATTCAATCTCATTACTAAACCCAACGTAAGTTTTTTTGTTGATTATAGGTTTAGTTATTAATATTTGTTGAAAACTTTTAGTGATTTTTTTTCATATATGTGGTTCGTGTAAAAATTGTTTGGTTCGATCGAATTGGACTATGATGATCTTAATTTTGAACGATTCATCTAGCCAAGCCCAACTTGTCTGATGGGATTGAGGCATTGTTATTGTAAATAGTGATGTAATGTAGTCTGAATAGTGAAATCAAGAATTTCGTTAAGGTTGTTTGAGATTTGCTAAATAAGTGATTTTTGAGTTTTGACCTATATATCGTATAATTTTCCGTTGAAGGATGTTTGACTGAACCTAGTATTTTTTATATGGAACGTAATGCCGATGTGACGGGTGCATCTTGGATCCTCCAAATACTATAATTTGTGTTGCTCGGACTCTTTGCATCTTGGATCCTCCGAAATAGTTGTGCATGATCTGACACGGGTGCAACAACATTGTTGGAGAGTTCAAGCAACATAGCCTATAATTGAAAACGTGCAATGGATTCAGTGGTGAAAACATCATACTGAAGTCGTCAAATTTAAATTCTGAATCTGCCTCTGATTGTCGTTGTTGTAGTAATTTTGTATGGCAAAATTTGAATTCTGAATCCGCCTCAGATTGTCGTTGTTGTCATAGTAATTTTGTACGTCAAATTTTGAATTCTGAATCCGCCTCTGATTGTGTTATTGTTGTAGTAATTTTGTATGTCAAAATTTGAATTCTAAATCCACCTCTGATTGTCGTTGTTGTTGTAGTAATTTTGTACGTCAAATTTGAATTTTGAATCCGTCTCTGATTGTCGTTGTGGTTGTAATGTTGTAGTTGAAGCAATCAAGAAGTGTGAATGCAAACAAAATGGTAGAGGGAGGAATAAGCAAAGCAGATAAAACAGAGTTTACAGAGTGCTGGAGTGCAGTATGGAGAACTCCTTATATTATGAAGCTAGCTTTATCAGCTGGCATTGGAGGATTTCTATTTGGTTATGATACCGGAGTTATTTCTGGGGCGCTTCTCTACATAAGGGAAGATTTCAAAGACGTTGATAGGAAGACATGGCTACAAGAAACTATTGTTAGTATGGCTGTTGCTGGTGCAATTTTCGGTGCTGCTACTGGTGGTTGGCTTAATGATAAGTTCGGAAGGAGACTTTCTATTCTCATTGCTGATATTCTCTTCTTTGCTGGTGCACTCGTTATGGCTCTTGCACCAGCTCCTTGGGTGATCATCGTTGGAAGGATATTCGTTGGTTTAGGAGTTGGAATGGCATCAATGACAGCTCCGCTTTATATATCAGAAGCTTCTCCTCATAAGATCAGAGGTGCTCTTGTCAGCCTGAACGGTTTACTCATTACTGGAGGACAATTCCTTTCTTATCTAATCAATCTTGCCTTCACTGATGTAACTACTACGAACTTCATTTCATCGTCTTTTTCCTTCTTTTTGTATGAGACTAGACGTGCTAAATGCCATCGTGGATTTGATGAAATGAAGTCTATCTAAGAACCATAGTAACTCATGTTCGGCTTGTATCAGGTGAAAGGAACGTGGCGTTGGATGCTTGGCATTGCTGGACTTCCAGCAGTTGTTCAATTTGTACTCATGCTTGCCCTCCCTGAGTCTCCAAGATGGCTTTACAGAAAGGTACTCGATCAACGACCAATTGTATACATTAACGTACTTTTTACACTATCTGTGTAGTTTAACCTGTGATATTGCTTATATAAAACTTCAACCTCTTGCTAAATTACAGCGAGTAGTAAGGAAATCTTGGCGAAAAACTATGTACTAATGATGTTTGATTCGTATATATTAGGGTAAAGTGGATGAGTCGAGGGATATCATAGCTAAAATTTATCCAGCAGAGGAAGTAGAGAACGAAATGCTGGCAATGAAGAAGTCGGTTGAAGAAGAAAAGGAAATCGAAGGCTCCATTGGAAGTAGCACGTTTACTCAAATCAAGAAAGCATTTGGAAGCACAACATGTAGAAGAGCACTCTATGCTGGTATCTGTGTTCAAGTGGCTCAACAATTCGTCGGTATCAACACTGTTATGTACTACAGTCCAACTATCATGCAATTTGCTGGAATTGCATCAAATAAGACTGCTGTAGCATTATCACTTATCACCTCTGGTCTTAACGCGGTTGGATCCATAGTCAGTATGGCATTTGTCGATAGATATGGTAGGAGGAGACTCATGATCATCTCCATGGTGGGAATCATTTCTTGCCTCATTGTCTTGTCAGTCGTGTTCTTCCAAGCATCGGCTCATGCACCAGCAATCAGCGGTACTGAAACTGCTCATTTTGGCAACAATACTTGTACAGCCTATGCCAATGCCCCAAATCCAGCTTCTTGGAATTGCATGAAGTGTTTGGCTAAAGAAGCTGAGTGTGGATTTTGTTCAAACACCAATCTGGTAAGTCACTAACAAACTCTATCTTTGAATCTATAACTCGTTTCAAGTACTTCCTCCGTCCCTGTTTATGTGATGAATGGACACAAAGTTTAAGAAAGAAAGAGAAACTTTTGAAACTTGAATATTATCATGATACATGTTTAGATCATTACTAAGATTCATATAACTAGAGTCTAAAGTGAGTGTACAACTCTCTCTATTGTCATCCTATGTTGCTCGGACTCTTCAAAAAACCACCATCTAGTGTATATGTGTCGAATCCTCCAAAAGCTATGCAATTTTGGAGGATCTGAGTTATCTGACACAGCTGCGACATCATTTTGGGAGTGTCTTAGCAACATAGGCATCGCGCCTTCTTACTATAGCAGTTTTAGATGTATCAGGTGCTCGTCTAGCTCCCTCTCCTCGTCTACTAACATAACTTACATTTGATTGATTTTGAATCTGTTTTTCAATGTGCAGTATGCTCCTGGAGCATGTATAGCAAAAACAGATGCATTAGCAGGAGCTTGCAAAGCAGAGAAACGCGTTTGGTACACAAAAGGTTGTCCAAGCAAGTTTGGGTTCTTAGCAGTTGTTTTCCTCGCGTTATATATCATAGTATACTCCCCAGGTATGGGAACAGTTCCTTGGATTGTCAACTCTGAGATTTACCCTTTGAGATTCAGAGGAGTTGGTGGAGGCCTTGCAGCAGTTTCAAACTGGACTTCAAATCTAATTGTTAGTCTAACATTCTTGACGTTAACTGAACATCTTGGCTCCTCTGGCACCTTCCTCCTATTCGCGGGGTTTTCATTTCTTGGACTCATAGCCATCTTCTTCCTCGTTCCTGAAACCAAAGGGATGCAATTTGAGGAAGTCGAAAAATTGTTGCAGAAAGGATACTCTCCTTTTAGAAAGAACAGTAGTTCTACTAAAGAAATCTCTGATCACACAAAATGATATTCATAGTGTAGATCAAGATACCACCTTATTTATTTTATTTGCATTGCTCTTTTACATATGTCATTGTGTATCATACTCAATTCGATGATAATTGTTTGATCTTAAAGAGGATCTTTTATAGTTCCGCTCTGTGATCAAAGTGTAATAAATTAAAAGAGTTTGTTGCTTTTTGTGTCATTCCATTGAATTTGTACATTGATAAAATCTACCAAGATATTGGTTTTTGTCTATGAGTTCATCATAATTTGTAGCAATTGATATCCTTTTAGAACTTTATTATTGTTTTACTAATTTGGTAAACTTTACACGAAATAATCCAAGTTTTTTAAAAAAGTACTTTTATATTAGGAAAATAGCACTAAAATGCATTTTTAATTAGATGCCGGCACCATATCCCGTTGAAACGTCCATTCTTTGGCTCATGTTATTCATTCGATCTACAAAATTACAAGGGTCGGAACTCGGAAGCTAGGGCAAAGATGAAGTGTGTTGGAGGACAGGGAAGACACAATTAAAAGGGTTAAAGTAGCTCCGGCTACATTACAAACAACCACAAGTAATTTGAACCATGGGATTTCATTAACAAGAAAAAACATGAAAAGGGAAAGAAATGCAGAATATTTTTCAGAGATTAATCTTCTTTCTATCCAAAATAACCAAATGGTGTTTAACAACTATACTCCAGATGTAGGTAAGTGAGCGACAAGCGAGAGCAGAGTCTAATTGATGATCTAAGCCTGAAATTGAACCAGATAGAAAACATTAGAATGAGAAGAGAGGCTGACATGATATCGGGATGGCAAGGGAAAGGGTTTGATTGTCAATAAACACATACCTTGTTCGATAGCCAATCAAGTCCCTCGTATAACCCTTCTCCAGAAGTGGCACATGTACTCTGGATATGCCTGAAGAGGAAGAAAGAGGAAGGATCAGATAATAGGCGTTCTTAGATAGTCAGAAGTCAGAACCAGACAAAACAAATGATGGTATCAGTGTAAATTACCAGTGCCGCTGTTGAAGAGAATGAAGAGAATGAAGTCCAAGCTTATCGGTGATTTCAGCCGCATTCATTGCGTTTGGAAGATCTTGTTTGTTTGCAAAAACAAGCAGCACAGCCTCTCTTAGTTCATCCTGCAGAGAAATGAAATGAGGATTCGAGACATCTATGATCTATCATAAAAGATTCCTCTTAACTTCACTTTCTATACCTCATATAACATCCTATGAAGCTCATCCCTTGCCTCACCAACACGGTCTCTGTCATTGCTGTCAACCACAAAGATGAGGCCTTGTGTGTTCTGGAAATAATGCCTCCATAGAGGTCGAATCTACAAACAGATCACAAAGAAGTAAGCAGATCAGTATTACTTTTCAAGTTTCCAATTATCAAAATACTATGTATAAACTTTAACTTTGTGCCTCTTGAACAGAAAGAACAATTGAACTGTAGAATTGCCAATGTTAGCAGCAAAAGAACCAAAGAAGGTCCATATCCCCATTCAGAATGAAATGCCGGCCACATACTGATCATATTTTGGAGACTTAATCACGATTAGCCTAGGAAACCATGTGCCTAAAAGTAGCCTCTTATGCGCAAAACACCAAAAGGACTCCAAAACCTTCAAGAATGACACCACGTTCAGATAGTTTTATCCAGTAATTAACTAGTCTGCTCCACTAGATACAAATATCCACCTTGGCGCCAGTATTTAGAAGACACCACCTCAGTGTCCAAGATATAATCAGCTAGCAAACGTTTGCAACTCAATACCTCACCAGACTGGGGGCTTAAGATAAAACTCTTGAAGATCATGGATCTGAACCATCCATTGACTGCAGGTGGTATATGAGCAGTGAATCATAATATACACTCTGCACTTGAGCTTGGCTCCAATTGCATATATGCCTTATGCGAAATCGAGCTCGAGTAAGGATCAAACTCAATAATAGCTCAACCACGAGCTAGTTTTTTACCCCAATTTTTTTTTCCCACTTGAAAACAAACACTAGCTTAAAAGTATCTGTGGCTAGAAAAGTTCCAGAAAACTTAATAACAATCCTATGATTTTTCAAAGTAGATAAATTAGGATTTGGTTCAAGATTATTCTAAAGGCGATGTATCTCTTTCTGCTCTCTTCACCAACCTAGGATTGAAGCTCACAGAGCATGCAAAATATAATCACAAGGTAAACATTTTGAACATTAAATAAGCTCTCATATATATACACATAGATAGAAAGAGATATTTAGACCAAAAGACATTTATCTAGTTGTTGAAGCATAAATCACGAGAAAATTATACACTACTAATACAGGCTAGTCGAATAACCCCCAGTAACTAGAAATAAACCCAGAGAATCACAAGGTTTCAAATGAAAATATGAGTAAGAGGACATAAGAACTTCTTACCCTGTCCTGACCCCCAACATCCCACACAGTAAAGATGATGTTCTTGTATTCAACTGTTTCCACGTTGAAGCCTGTCAATAGAAAGATTAGATAGTTGAAAGAACCAGCTGCATAGCAAAAATTGACAACAACGGATTATAAGAGAAGGATCTGCTCCACAAGTACACGACACACATGACAAGCACTTGATGAAGACACATTGCCAAAGGCAAATATTGCAGCCATTAAAAGTTATTTAATCTCCAGAGATACCATCCTGAATCTTAAAGATTACATTGTTCTCTTATCAACACATGTGTGGGTGCAAATGATTTGAAAGGATGTTGCAAGATTTTGAGGCATTTTCACCTAACAAGAAAAATAAGCCATCTTGCATGTTACTTTTTGGATTAGATATATCAACACAATTTACTTTCGGTAGTATATCCCACAATGAGTAGAAAATTATGTTAGACTGTGAGGTGCAACTCGTGAGAAGAATAAAAATTAGATTCACAAGAAACGTACCACTAGTACGTATAGCGGTAACAATTTCCCCCAACTTGAGCTTGTAGAGAATTGTGGTTTTACCAGCATCATCGAGACCAACCATAAGAATACGCATTTCTTTCTTAGCAAAGAGGCAAATAATAAGTTTGGTGAAACACAGCCCCATCTCTGTGTAACTGAAAAATGGACGAGATCATTTATAAAGATCAGAGAATCAATATAAAATTTTCACTGATTCCGGTCACTTTGACTATGGTAATGCAATTAATTACAAAAAGAATAAATAGCATCTTGCAGAAAGAGAAGGAAAAATCTTTTGTTGCATGTAGCTCTGAAGTACTTTGTATCTTGCAGTACATTTATGCAGAATGGGTCTTTAATTAGGTAATTTCATACAGTATTTACGCCATATGTCTATAAAGTCAAATACTGCTAGTAAGAAAAAACAAAATTTTTAATAGATTATGTTCGATTCAACAATGAAGCATTATGAATTGACTCTGTTACTTGTTCTGAATTTATGTTGCTTCATTATTGCTTTATCTGCAGCCTTTGTTGAGGAGTTATTCCAAATAATTCTAGGTGTGGTTCCAACAATACTCTGCATCTTTCCACCTTGTTCTCTCTGATACTTTTTTTTAAAAAAAAAATTGGTAATGTTAAATATAAAACTTGTTCTCTCTGATACTTACAAGCTAACATACAACCCAGGCCAGAAAGCCTTTTCCCCATCCTTGTTAGTTATTCCTCAACAGTTATTTCACTTTGTTGCTAATGATACCACCAACACTCATTTTCCACAATTTCAATTTGCAATGGACATTGCAAAAAGTACAACTTTAAACACAATAAGTGAATTATTCCAATAACCTCACAGCAAAAAGCTGCATCAGTTCTCTTGACAACTCTATAATGAAAAATACCATTTTATATGAAATCCCCTGAGTACATGAGATCGACACAGGAATAGTTTATTTCTAGTGCAAAAAAATGATACAACACCTTTCATAGAAATTCAGATGACCCGATTATGTTCTCGTATCCCTTTCAATCACCACAGGAACTATCAAGCACTATTTAGGAAATGATATTCCTCAAAACCAATAACAGTATTTAGCCAGGAAATGACAATCTTAAAATTTCAAACTTCAGTAACCACACTGTACGTACAGCATTGGCCGTGTAAGCATCCTGTAACTCTCAATTTCTAAAATTGTTAAAAATAGCATTTGTCAAATATGCGAGAAGTAGAGGCAGATCCATCGTTTTGTGACAGGAAATCTGGATGTCACAATGCTCACTAACCCTTTATGATCATTGATGCAGATTTAATAAGATATACTTTCAAAAGTACTCACACGCGAATATGTACATATTTCTTTTTTTTTTTGAAACTGGTAAGGTTGTATTCTTCAGCATTAAGGGCATGCTGGCCACCACCAAAAAGTGTCAATTACAAACTTCCTATCAAATCTACAATTTGATCTGTATCTACTATACACAACTATTTACACCAAAAAAGTAGAGGTACTATACCATTCCATTTGACCTTGTACATATTTCTTACGCAATCAATGTGCATGTCCGCCCATTATCACGACTGAAGATACTTCAGCTATTGGTTAAAAGTATAATAACTATTTCAAGTTTTTAACCCCTTGCTAGCGAAAGCAAGGGGTTTGCCTTCTGGGTCGAGCTCGTCGCACCGGGAATGCCTAGTGTGAGTTACCTCTCCTATGTGGTTTGCGAGCTATTGCATAGGAGCAGGGGTTTTACCCTGTGCGCACCCAAAGGGTAGCGGCTGCGGGTTTCCCTTGTCATAAAAAAAAGAAAGTATAATAACTATAGCAAGATGATCAAATCCAGATACATGAAAGAGAAGCACGAAAAAATCCATACGAAAACCACAAACTTAGAATCAAAAATAATAATCGGAAAACACGTACTAGTAACCTTTTTCCTAAACAATCAAATTCCAAATCAACCTCTAACTAACTTCATACTTGGAAATCACATAGCTCCTTTTTGCTTCTTCTCTTTACCCTCACTCAAACTCTAATTGCTAAATAAAAAAACATTCAACACTTCCATTGCTTACATCTGCATCTATGCTTTATTTTAGTTTATTGATAACCACGGTATCCAGGCCAGCTTGTGGTGCACCAATTCCACAGTATACCTATCAACTACAGTTACCGGCTAACTCTGTCCACCAATGCACGTTTGACTTTTGATCCACCTTATTTGTTTTTTCAAAGTTGGAGGATCAATTAGTGAGACAAAATTTTTTTCTAAGAGCATCGGAATAACATCTAGAAATCAACAAATTACGAACTATAAGGCAGATCGATCTTCATGCAGATGAATGTCAAACTAGTTCCTTTGAGAGAAAAAAAATATTCGTAAGGGAAGAGACGACGACGGCTAACCGGCGACCGGCGATCGGAGAATTCAAATAGTAGATCTCGAAATGGAGCTGTCGTTCACCGCGCTTTCCTCTGCTGTGGCACGGAAAAAGAGAAATTAAGCTGAGTCGTCGTTTTAATAAAAACAAATACATTTTATATATTAAATTAAATTTAAAATCTATAATAAAGTCTTAATATTGTCTATTTTATTATTATCTTGTCCTAATCACCACATTCAATAATTACTTTTACTAGCAATCATTTACGATGGGAGATAATTTGGCACCATCAATAATATTTAGTAAAATATAGGCTTATATATTACTTTCAGCAATATATATCATTATTATCTCGATGAGTGACAAAAAAAGACAAATCATATACAACTCAACATAAATAATATCAAATCTAACTCTTTGATATGTCAAGTAAGGTCTTGACCTTATTCGTGGAATACTTGAGCAGTTCATATTATGAAAAACCTAGAACCATACATTAGCCCATTTAATCTATGAAATCATAAAACCACAAATTAGATAATGACCCATCAAAATAAATATGAAGATATAATTATTCTCAATGAATTTGACATCCTCCCCAATTATGATGCAAGAATGGATTCAGAAGCTTAGGCAGAGTGTGTACTGTGCGTTGGGAGGGTTGGACCTAGCCGTTAAGTTGGTTAGGTTTTATTTAAGAAGAATAGTTTCATATTGCTCAGTTTAGTCCAATAGGTTTTAAAGTTATTTCTATTATTATCAAAATTGCCCGATATGTTTGAGGATTGGATACTTTAGGGCCAATTGCTGGGCACTTATGTTTTGTACTGTCCAGCAGGAATGTTGGACTATTTAAGTATTGTATTTGTCCTTGTTGAAGAGGGCAGAGAATTGTTTAGCTAAATAGAGCATAGCTTGTTTCTTACTCTTTTCCTTTTCCTTTCTTTCTTTTCTTAGCTTCTTACTCTTCCATTACTGTCTTATTACTTTTCAATGTTGTCCCTAGTGTAATTGTATCAAATTATCACGTAGCTTAATGCAAAGTAAATATAATGTGTGAATTTAAATTATTTTGATGACAAAGTTCACACAAAAGCCTATAAATATATCTATTTTTCCATTATTATCATGTCTAATAAGTTGACATTAGCAAATTTAATTATTTTATCATCCCAATCTACATATTCTTGATCTATATTAACAAATTCAATTGTACTGATTTCAAGATAGATACTTATATTTTTCTTTCAATTTTGTAGATTAAAAATGAATCCCAAAGAAAAAAATATTAAAAATAAAATATTAAACAATTAAATGTGTTTTTAAAAAAAAATCTGCAATCCCATAAAATTAGAATGCAAATAAAATTCAACAAAATACGTAACATGTCTTTTAACTCGAACTTAGTTAATATATACACCTTCCAATATTGAGTGTACGTAAATAAACACTTAAATTATTATAAAATTAAACAAATAGATACACATCCTACATGTCGAATCTCATGAAGAATATCTCTGTCTACTTGTTTAACTTTATTACAATTCAAATGTCTATTTATATGCACTCAAATTAAAGAACGTAAATATCAACTCAGATCAATTATGGTAGTTTCATCTCATTTATTTTATTCTCTTTTAATTCAATAGGCACTAGATGGTTCTAAAAGAACCCGGAAACGGTGTCGTTTCATTTCCTTTTTCCCCTTTTCCTCTTCAACATATATAATAAGTGTCGCTGTGTGGAAAGGTACATACAAAACTTTCGTGCACCTCTTTCGTGTTGTGCACTGCTGCATCTCCCACCACCCACCCACCTCCTCTACCCCCTACCCCACCCCTTAATACCCACGTCCTCTCTCTTGCTCTCGCGTATTCCAATTTTTTTGTGTTTTGCAAAAGTCCGCCATTTTTCTCTTTCTAGGGTTAGGGTTTTTCTTGTAACCATGTTTTGTTTTTTGAAAAGTTTGGAGATTGTAGAATGGTAAAGAGATTCCTTTTTTCTGTTCAGGAGTTAATTGTCATCGTTCAGTTCTGCAGGTCAATTATGTGCTGAATCTCCTCTGGAATTGGTAATTTTTTTTATGTTTGAATGACTTTATTGTTCTTAAGTATTTGATGGGTATGTTTATTTTTGCTTTTTTGGTATAAAGTTTGGATTTTTATTGAAGTAGCATCTTTTAGGACTTTATTGTCTGCAAGTGATGGGTATGTTTTTTTGGTATAAAGTTAGGATTTTTATTGAATTAGCATAGAGGTTGTTTGATGGGTATAAAGAAATTGTCTTGGTAACAACCACTGAACCAATAGAACAAGGGTTAGCTACGTAGCAGGCCAGGTCTTAGTCGGAGTGTAGTCAACCTGAAACTAGTTTATGATTGAAGCTTGGTAGTTGTATTTTAGACAGAATAATTGTAATTTTTTGTGTGTTTAGGGTTGCGGCATGTGTTGTTGTTCCTGGTTTTTGCTAATGATATCTTTTTCATCTGTTTTGAGCTGAGGGTCTATCGGGAATAGCATCTATACCTTCTCAAGGTAGGGTTAAGGTCTACCTACACACCACCCTTCCTGTACCCCACTTGTGGGACTACACCGGGTTGTTGTTGTGTGTTTATTGTGCTGAGTATAATTGACTTCTAGTTTAGGATTGCAGTGTGGTAGTTGTATTTTAGACAAAATAATTGTCTTTTTTGTGTGTGTTTAGAGGAATGAGGCATGTGTTGTTGATCCTGCTTGTTGCTAATTGACGTTAATTTCATCTATTTTGAGCCGAGGGTCTATTAGAAATGGCCTCTCTACCTTCTCAAGGTAGGGGTAAGGTATGCATACACACCACCCTCCCAAGACTCCACTTTTGGGATTACATTGGGTTTTGTTGTCGTTGTGTATTTAATGTGCTGAATATAATTGACTTTTAGTTTAGGAGTGCAGTGTGGTAGATGTATTTTAGACAGAAGAATTTGAATAAAATGTATTATAATATACTCTTTAACACATTTATTAGCATTTTTATGTCTTTTAAAATTTAGGTGTTTGCAAGTAGACATTTAAGCTATCACACGTGTCTTTCATGACAAATCTCATGTGATTTAACATGTAAACCATATGTGTCTACTCAATTACGATCAAGTTAAAAAATACATTTATGTATTGTATTTATAAAAGTTTGTTGAAAAATGTTCTATTGTGTCATTAAACCCATTAGGTGGTTCCATCTCATTTATTTTTTCTCTTTTTCTTCCCCTTTTCAAAATTTGAATTCATTAGACTCTAGATGGTTCCAAAGAACCCGGAACGCCATCGTTTCATTTCCTTTTCCCCCTTTTCCTCTTCAACATATAAGTGTCGCTGTGTGGAAAGGTACATCCAAAACTTTCGTGCACCTCTTTCATGTTGTGCACAGCTGCATCTCCCACCACCCACCTCCTCTCCCTCTCCCCTCTCACCACCACCCACCCTTAATATTCCGCTCCCCTCTCTTGCTCTCGCGTGTTCCAATTTTTCCGTGTTATGCAAAAGTATGCCATTTGTCTTTGGTTCTTCTCTTTCTAGGGTTAGGGTTTCTCTTTAACCATGTTTTGTTTTTGAAATTGAAAACTTTAGAGATTGTAGAATGGTAAAAAAATTCTTTTTTTCTGTTCAGGAGTTGTTCAGTTCAAATGTCATCGTTCAGTTCTGCAGATCAGCCACGTGCTGAATCTCCTCTGGAATTGGTAATTTTTTAATGTTAAATCTTTGTTTTAGGATTTTATTGTTTGTAAGTATGTGATGGGTGTGTTTTTTTGGTATAAAGTTTGGATTTTTATTGCATTAGCATGTAGAGGTGCTTTGATTGGGTATAAAGAAATCGTCTTGGTAGCAACTAGCAAATCAATAGAACAAGGGCTAGCTCTGCAGCAGGTCTTTAGTCGGATCGTAGTGGACCTGAACTAGTTTGGGATTGAGGGGTGTTGTAGTTGTATTTTAGACAGAATAGTTGTCTTTTTTGTGTGTCTGGGGTTGAGACGTGTGTTGTTGTTCTTGCTTGTTGCTAATTGATGTCTTTTTCATCTGTTTTGAGCTGAGGGTCTATGAGAAACTTCCTCTATACCTCTCAAGGTATGGGTAAGGTATGTGTACACACCACCCTCCCAAGACTCCATGTGTTTGTTGTTGTTGTGTGTTTAGTGTGCTGAATATATTGACTTCTAGTTTAGGATTGCAGTGTGGTAGTTGTATTTTAGACAGAATGATTTGCTTTTTTGTGTGTTGTTTTTACTGCTTGTTGCTAATTGATGTCTTTTTCATCTGGCTTTGAGCTGAGGATGTATCTGAAACAGCCTCTATATCTTTTCAAGGTAGGGGTAAGGTACACTTACACACCACCCTCCCTACACTCCACCTGTGGGATAACATTGGGTTTTGTTGTTGTTGTTGTTGTTGTTGTGTGTTAATGTGCTGAATATAATTGACTTCTAGTTTAGGATTGCAGTGTGGTAGTTGTGTGTTTATTGTGCTGAATATAATTGACTTCTAGTTTAGGATTGCAGTGTGGTAGTTGTGTGTTTATTGTGCTGAATATAATTGACTTCTAGTTTAGGATTGCAGTGTGGTAGTTGTGTGTTTATTGTGCTGAATATAATTGACTTCTAGTTTAGGATTGCAGTGTGGTAGTTGTGTGTTTATTGTGCTGAATATAATTGACTTCTAGTTTAGGATTGCAGTGTGGTAGCTGTATTTAGATAGAATAATTTGTCTTTTTTCTGTGTTTGGGATTGAGGCGTGTGTAGTTGTTCCTGCTTGTTGCTAATTGACATCTGTTTCATCTGTTTTGAGCTGAGGGTCTATCAGTAAGAAATGACCTCTCTACTTTCTCAAGGTAGGGATAAGGTATTCTTACACACCACCCTCCCAAGACTCCATTGTGGGATTGCACCGTGTTTTTTTTTTTGTTGTTGTTGTATGTTTTATGTGCTGAATATTGTTGACTTCTAATTTAGGATTGTGGTGTGGTAGTTGTATTTAATACAGAGCATATTGAGTTTTTTTTGGGTTTTATCTTCTTCTGTTTAGTGAGTTAAAACATTGTTTATCCGCTAT